AAAACATTTGAGTGTGTTTCCCATTATAGTAGCCGAGTTATTTAAATTCTATTACTAAGCAGTTTTCCCCTAAACCATAGTCGGTACTCCACAGACACTGTGTAAGCTCGGGGCAGGCATGTAAAAACCAGACCATGTGAATATATTTCATAGTCCATAATATTCACATAGAAGAATGACAAATCATAAGAAATAAACCACACGTCACAGAAACGATGCAAAGGGTGTTCTTCTCACACCCATTCACCCCCCTCACGCCGAGCACAGAGCTCGCGTGCTCACATCGTGGAGTGTTTGTTGGAGAAGCCGCCTTTGCCTGGGGTCCTGCCTCCATGGTCAGGGGGCTCCTGCCGGTCTCTGTCAAAAACTCTCAGTGATTCTTCTTCCTAGGAAGTCTCATCTCCCCTCTGTGGCTTGACCCCTGCTCGCTCCCCTCTTCCTCACGCCCTGCAGTGGGTCCCATGAGAGACACCCCGGATCAAAACACCTGCAGCGCTCGCTGCCTCTGTGTCCCTGGGCTCCCACAGGGCCTGGCGGGCGCGGGTGTATGACAGCCTTACAGGCACTTGTCCACCAGGGCCACCCCGCTCCTGGGGGCTCCCAGAAGCCTCTGATCGCCCACCGGTCGGTTCACGCCAGATCCTTTAAAACGCTGGAGCTACGTATGACACCGCAGACCCCCGGCTGGAAGAAATGTCCCGGACAAGACCTGCACGCTGCCTTCTAAGCTCGGGAAACCTTGTCACCCCTCCCAACTGTAACATACGGGACATGTTATTTGCATAAGTTTGTAAATACACAAATGAAGCTTTTGAGTCCCTGCGAGGAAATGATTCCCATCTCTTCCTACATAGGTGTTTGTTTTGATAAGAAGTATTTAGTCTCCGAAACTCCTTTCTTTTATTTCAGTTCCTCATGTTGTGGTGACCCCCAACCATAAAATTATTTTTGTTGCTACTTCATAAATGTAATTTTGCTGCTGTTATGAATCGTCATGTAAATATCTATATGCAGGATGTATTTTCATTGTTACACATTGAACATAATTAAAGCATAGTGATTAATCACAAAGCAATATGTAATTATATATGTGTTTTCCGATGGTCTTAGGTGACCCCTGTGAAAGGGTCGTTCGACCACCAAAGGGGTCGTGACCCACAGGTTGAGAACCGCTGTTTTATTTTAAAACTTTACCCACAATCAGCCTTCACATAAGAGCTTCAGAGCGGAGGCGGTACTGGTCGGCCTTTGAGCGGAGGCACGTGGTCAGTCACGTATGGGCATCTCATCGAGTGGACGTGAACACAACCTGCCATTAAGGACAACTTTTCCTGAAACCCATTTCCATAGGAGTCCCAGCCAGCCAGTCCTTTTATTCTGTTTTACACATGAGGCCTCCAGTAAAGGTGGTAAAATCCTAATGTCTTAACTATGATTGGACCAATGAGAGAAATTCAGGAAAGCTGAACAGACCTCGTCGGTTGCTAAGTCTGTATTTTTGTCAATTCACTGTTCTAATATAATGTTAGCTGTGTCATGCTTGGCCTGTGTACTTACCCCCCCCCCACCAGCACCACACAGAGGGGGTACAGAACAACCTCCTGGGCTACCCTAAGAGGTTAAAAAGACCCTGATCTGTATGGGAATCTGACAAATCCAAAGTTTTCAAAATTAATTAGCTGCACTTTTTTTTCTTCCCCCCCCCCTTTTTTTAAATTGATTTCAGAGAGGAAAGGAGAGGGAGAGAGATGGAAACATCAATGATGAGAGAGAATCATGGATCGGCTGCCTCCTGCACAGTCCTGCACTGGGGATCAAGCCCGCCACCCGGGCCTGTGTCCTGACCAGGAATCGAACCCTGACCTCCTGGTTCATGGGTTGATGCTCAACCACTGAGCCATGCCGGCCGGGCTAATTAGCTGCACTTTTTATCAATTTCACTGAGAATCTCAGTTTCTGAATTAAAATACTAATCATCCTGAGAGGTTAACAAAAGTTTATGTAGCGGCCTGGTTTAGACTCATTTCCCGTCCCTCTGTCTGTCTCCTGTTCCTGAAGCAACGTGTCGGTCTCTGTGTTTTAAGACTTTAGGCTTCCCCTAGTTAAGATCTCATCATCAGTGAATCTTGGCGGGGAGACCATTCTTCCATGTTTGGAGCAGCTGTTACGTACGACAAATGTGTCTTATTTGAGTGATTATTCATTTAAACGGTGGGAGCATTGTATGATGTCATCACTCTTTGTTTTCTCTTGCCTTTTAGGAGCCTCAGTTGCCAAAGGATTACTTTGCACAAAAACCTGTTCTTCTCCTTCGTGTGTAACTCTGTCATCACGATCATTCATCTCACAGCCGTGGCCAACAACCAGGCCTTGGTGGCCACGGATCCTGTAAGTAAAGCCAGTGTGTCCTCGGGTTCAAAGGATGGGCGGGGAAGCTGTGCCAGAGGGGGGAGGTCCTGCTACATGTGCTGGGCGTGTAATTAGGTGCTCGCATGTGCAATGTATTGTAAGGTCTGACATACAGAGACCATGTAGAGAGCATATAGAGAGGTAAATGCAGGGGGTCCCAAAAAATGTGTATATACTTTAACAGCGGAGAGTTCAATCTGGAAAATGAAATGTATTTTAATAAACACTGCCTTTAATTATTCAAAGTGTGTGTATACACTTTTGGGAACACCCTATATCTCAATATTCTTCAAGTTAAAATGATCCAGTATTAAAAGGAAGAATACTTTTTTTTGCGTCCATTATTTATAAATGTTACACATACCTTCTCCTCAACTTATGGCTAGAGTCCTGCTACTGGTAGGACATACGCGTTTATGACTATATAGCCTTTGCTCAAAAGAATCAAAACACCAATCAACTAACCGTGTCATTAGAAAAAAAAAACAGTGCTTGGAAATAGAACATTTAAATTATATTTTTGGTATCCAGCTGACTTTAAAAGTTAACAAAAACAGAGAAAAATAAATTCTACATCCCCTGTATAATGTTAAACTTTATCATCACAAAATTTCTGAAGGGCTCTACCAAGTCCCCACATGTCAGCAAACATTTACGAGACGTTTCTTTGCAATTCCTTCGGAAGCCGAGTTTGTAGGGCGGCTACCGAGAGATACACAACGGTAAGCACAGAGGCCGTCGTAACATAAAGCCATGTGTTTACCCCGTAAGCTGAAACTTACTTATACAGATTGACACATTTTTTTGTAAGCCGTGTGTCTAGGTAAGCCACATTTAAATTAAAATATCTGCATAAGTAAAAAGCATTCACATTTTTTAAATCCTATTTTTTACCACGTTTACAAATATCTCTGCTACAGTTCGATATAGAGTTTTGGAGGGTGTGTATATCTGCATTTGGCAGGTGAGGTTTTTAGGGATTAAGTTATCTAGTTACTGAAGTCAGGGGAGGAGGAACTTGTACTCAGTGGGTCAATCCACACTGCTCCGTGTGTTTTCAGGGGAATTTCCAAAACCCTCACGCCCCTGCATGGCTTGCCCACGTGCATCCGGGAGGTTTAGTCCTGTGTATGTTCCCTCTAGAGCAGCGGTTCTCAACCTTCCTAATGCTGCGACCCTTTAATACAGTTCCTCATGTTGTGGTGACCCCCAACCATAACGTTATTTTCGTTGCTACTTCATAACTGTAATTTTGCTGCTGGTATGAACCGTCATGTAAATATCTGATCTGCAGGATGTATTTTCATTGTTACAAATTGAACATAATGAAAGCATAGTGATTAATCACAAAAACAATCTGTAATTATATATGTGTTTTCCGATGGTCTTAGGCGACCCCTGTGAAAGGGTCCTTCGACCCCCAAAGGGGTCGCGACCCACAGGTTGAGAACCGCTGCTCTAGAGCCAGGGGGTGAGGAGACAGGATTAGCCCTGTGACTCCCAGCCAGCGTCCTGCCCCCTCCGAGTGGGTTTCTCTGAGCGAGGAGCGAGGAGTCCCGTCCGGCTGCGCAGCGAGGGGTTCAGACCCTACATCCTGTGAGAGGACTTGTGCTTCACACGCAGATTGCAAACTGCATAGACGTGTGTGAACATATACCATTTTTTGTCCGTTTTGTTTTTTTTCACCAATGTTCGCTATTTTCCTGAAGCACACTATAAGCTGTTTTTATTATGAGTTTATGGATTAATTTGGTTAATGAGCTTAGGAATTAAACTCAGTTCGTTAGGAGTATCTGAGAACCATATGGATAAGAATTGGAAGTGGAAGGCTACCTTTTCTGTATAGTCAAGTGGAACAACTCATTCTTACCTTTGAGCGAACTTGGCTAATATGGTGTTATGTTTGACTTCAAGGGATGTTATTTAAAATTTAGTGTCATGCAACCTGAAAATATGTTGAATGAAAGAGTAGGTTTTATAAATGTCGTTAGGCAGAAGGCACTGTGTATAGTCATGAAAACAAAATTGGAATTGTAGGACTTGTCTTCAGAGTGTGGCTTTGATTGATGTTGTGCGAATATCAGGAAATCATTTAACTTTTTTAGTGCAGTTTTAATCTATGGGATATGTGATCAATAATAATCCATGCCTCAGAATCATTTTAAAGATTAATTAAAATAATATACATTAAAACATTTTAGCTAAATCATATGCAAATGTTACTATTACTATTCTATGAGAACCCAATATTTATTTTCCAGTGTATTTCATTCCTGACTTTATTTTTAGTGAAAAGATATTTATTTCAAGAATGGCGACAGTTGCCACTAAATATCTGTTGAGTTCCAGATTGGAAGTTGGAGCTGATGGGAGTACTTGGCCCTGTGCTTCTGGGAGAGCTTTTCATTTATTTCCCTGGTTATGAGAGTCCTGTATCTGCTACTGCTCCATGTTTTCTTCACCCTATACCTGACCCTCCCTCTTCCTGCCTCTTTAAGAGTCGAGAAGAGAACGTGGAGACCCCGAGATAGAGGCAGGAAAGCACTTCTCCATCTTTTCCGACACGAAGCCCTCGGGCCCCATAGCTGGATAAGACAGCGTCTAGGCTCCGTAGCTCCTGCTTGATGAGCACTTGCACTGCTCGCACGTAATATGCAAGACTTCCCGAGTGCTTGGCACTTCTCATGAATTGCTTTTATAATTATTAAGATTTTTTTTCCCAACAGACTACCGCAATCCAGGAGTTCATAAAGACATAATTAAAACAAAAATAGGTGTGAAGTCATTCGTGTGTGAAACTTTTACACTTAACATGACATAATAACTAAAACACATTGGAACTCACATGCATATATGCATAACCCATGTACACAGACAATAGGGTGATGAGGCCTGGAGTGGGGGGTGGGAGAGTTCAATGGGGGAAAAGGGGACATTGTAATCCTTTCAACAATAAAGATTTAAAAATAAGCAATAAAACACACCGGGAAATGCAGGCCCACTAAAGGCAGGAGAGTCGGGACATGCACCTCTCCGTGCAGCTCACCATCGCGCCTCGTTGGGGTCAAGGCTAAGACTCCAGAGGTTCCGTTCGATGAGCATGAAGGCGGCGTTGTGCAAACCTGGATGATTTGCGTGTGCGGTTTGGGTAGAGAAGGGCATCCCGTGTTTCTGTATGACCGAACTCGGCGGGACTCGCCCTGTGAACTCACAACCACCCTCGCCGCTGCTGTCCCCCCCCCACCCCAGGTGGGCTGCAAGGTGTCCCAGTTCCTGCACCTCTACCTGATGGGCTGCAACTACTTCTGGATGCTCTGCGAAGGCGTGTACCTGCACACGCTCATCGTGGTGGCCGTGTTCGCAGAGAAGCAGCGCCTCCTGTGGTACCACGTCCTGGGCTGGGGTAAGGCCGCACCGCTGCCCACTTGCCTGCCTCATGCGTCCCGTAGAGCAAGCGTTTCAAACTCACGGCCCACGGGCCAAGGGCCTCGTTTATTTGGCCCGTGTCAGCCTTTGAGTTTGACATGCTTGCTTTAGAGGGTGTAGCTCCTTTGTCATCTGAACATACTTATTATTCATCGTGTTAAGGACGTCCAGGTGACTAACCTGTGCTGAGGGCGGTGAAGTCAGATATTTGAATAAAACAGCCTGGCTCACTGTGTGCGGGGGCCCCAGACAACTGCACAGGCACAGCTTTCCTTCCCATTTAACATTCCAGTGTGGATCTTGGCTAACCGCGTGGGGACTAAAACAGTAGAATTAGGGCAATGAATTGGGGTCCAGCGTTTGTACTTCGCTGAGTCTCCTTTTTCCTCATGTGCAAAATAAGAACACTGGGCCTAGCTAGCTTTGACCTTCCATTTTTAAAATGTTTACTTAAAAAACAACAACATTGCCATTTTATCTGAGAGTATAGGGATCAGTTATTGAATATGAGCGTGCAAAATATCTTTTTTTCCCCACACAATCCCCTGACATGGTGTCAGTCACAAAGCAGACAACGATACGCTTCTAGCATTTAAAAAGAATAACAGGAATGATGCGAAATACGAAATGCTGAAGATAAATTCAATAGGACTAGTTTCCAGAAACATAACTGAAATGGCACGTTCTCTCTCTACCCACCTACCTACCTACCTACCTACCTACCTGTCTATCTGCTTCTCTATTTACCTCCCTACGCACCCAGTCAGACAATAGACAGACCGGTGCAGCTGTGTAGGCGCACACCCGGCTTTGGTGCATTCAGGTCACCCTTTAAAACGTTTCTTTGGAGATCTGATCTAGAATGCCCACACCACGCAAACTCGTGGAACATGCAGCCTCTCTTTCCTCTTCCTCTTTTCTCTGTGCAGTCAGTCAACCAGTCCCCACTGTCCCCACGTGGGAAACCCTGCCCACGGCCGGCCACTCCCTTCCCACAGAAAACGCAGGGCTGCGGGGCTGCGCTCTGGCCTGGGCATGGGCAGCAGCGCGTTCGGGCGTTCGGCTCGGGGTCCGTGGGCCCAGATGGCACATGTTGGAAAGTCACTCACCCTCCACCCTGGGAACCAGGAGTAGCTGACAGTTAGCACGCTTACTGCCTGGCCACAGACGTCACATTTACCCCTAACCGAGCGGCGTGATGGTGCGGGAGAGCCCCCGGGCCCCGCAGGCCGCGAAAAAAAGTCCCACAGGGTTCCCGCTGATCCCCGCCTGCACGCACGCCGTGGGCAGGAGCCTGTACTACAACGACAAGTAAGACAGCGCCCCTTTCTGGCTTCTCTGGGGACGAAGCGAAGCAAAACCCTCACCCCTTTCCCTCTGTTCGCCCGCAGGTGCTGGATCAGCTCCGACACGCACCTGCTCTACATCATCCACGGCCCCATCTGCGCCGCCCTGCTGGTGGGTAGCGGCTCCCCTGCTCTCACGCGTGTCTGTGTCCTGGCTGTAGCGGGGGGGGGGGGCACAGCACCTGCAGATCCAGGCACCGACCCCATGGGGCCAGTGAGCGCGTGGAAGGGCTGCTGCTGCCTTAGCGGGGGCGGGCGGGGAAGGAGCTCCTTCTTGGGGGGAGGCCCTGGGGACCCGGAGGGAAGCCCTTATCTCAGCGAGAAGGCAGGGGCTGCTAGGGTGCTGGGTGGGAGGCACGCTGGAAGGAGCTGGGCCACGGGCAGAGGGGTGGGCGCTGCCAGCCACAGCTGGGCCCAGCCACAGCCTGGGGGGACCTGGGCGGGTCCCTTTGTGTTGCTCTTCATCCCCGCAGCTCTGTTTCTTGGCTGTGGTCAGGGGGGAAGGACCCTCACAGGCTGGGTGGGGGGGGAAGGACCCTCACAGGCTGGGTTAGGGGGGAAGGACCCTCACAGGCTGGGTCAGGGGGGAAGGAGGACCCTCACAGGCTGGGTCAGGCTAAATGAGAGACGTGAGTGAGGAACAGGGCGCCGGGAACATCACAGAACCTCACAGACACACTTTGGAAGCTCCTGGGCGGAATGACTGCCTGAGGCTCTGACTGTGTGGGGAGCGCGCAGGGGGCCGCATGCAGGGCTGACACGGGAGCTCCCAGCCACCAGGGTGGGGGCCTGGGGACTGCCTGCACCGGGAGGCGGGG